TGGGCAAACCCGAAGACGTGAGTGATGATGGGGGGAGCCCTGGGTGCCGGGAGGTGGGGACCCCGCCCTCTGCCTTCGGACCTTCCGGGTCCCGTAACGCGCTTGGCGCTCCCTTCCCAGGCATGACCCTGACCTGGCTGACCTCCACGGACCCTGGGCGCTCGGACCCCAACGTCGAGGCTCTCAGATGGCGGCCGCCTGACGCCAGCCCCGCCTGGCCAGCTTCAGGATTTAACTTTTGTGTTCCCTGCAGCGAGTGAGTGTTACTTTGCGGCCGGGCCTGACTATGGCCATGGGCGGATCCACAGAGCCTTGCGTCCAGGTGCTGGTCTCTTCCATCGGTGTGGTAGGAACTGCCGAGGAGAACCGTGCCCACAGTGCCCGCTTCTTCGAGTTCCTCACCAAGGAGCTGTCCCTGGACCAGGACAGGTACGTAGGGCTAATGAGGGGACCTGTTTGGGACTATTGAGTATCTGGAGCGGTGATGCTGAACTCTGGGTCCCCCTTTGAAGTTGGGGGAAAATCCATTACTTGCCCAACCCAGGAAGCACAGGGGGCCTAGTGCCAAGAGGTCCATCTGCTCCATGGGCACTGGGTTAATAGGTCTGTGGTCAGAGTGGCTGCAGGATTTTGGTTCCTTCCTCTGCAGCCATCCCTGTAAGACCTGGGGAAGGCATGGCTTTGGAAACCTCAGTGTTTCCATCTGAGTACTGGGAATGCTCTTAGGCACCCTGAGGACCACTGCAGGGCTCAGTAGGTTGGCAGCTGCACAGCCCCTGCCTTACCTTGCAAGGTAGGAGACAGTTACCACCATGGAGAAGCCAGGGTTTCTGATTTTCAGGGAGAACTTTTCCAGGCTGGTCAGAGGGAATTTGGTTATGTCTGGAGGCAGAGACCTTTGACCCAGATAAGACTGTATGTGGAAACACCTACCACAGCTAAGAAATTTGGAAATAACCATCTGCAGTTTGCAGCTTTCTCTTTAAATAAAGGGGGTCAGGCTAAATGTCTTGTTTCCCCACAGGAAGATTCTACCCCACCCACCTCTGTAACAGGGTTAGAGTCTCATTCCTAGTCCATGTCTGTGAGGAACTAAGAGCACAGGTCGTTTGAAAGGACCAAGCAGAATGGAGCTCTGGTTAGCCTAGGAAAGTTGGGAGGCACAGTTGAATGTGATGGTTGTCCCTAAGTTGGGGACACTGAATACTTTTAATAGTAATAGTAACACACTCATGCAAGTGCCAGGAACACTACACCCATAATCCCACTTGATCCTTACAAGTACTGTCCAAGGCCCCTGTGTGCAGACTTGCCATCTTCATGGGTGGATATCTGCATTAGACCAACTTTACAGATGGGAAAACAGAGGCTGTCAGCCCTGCCTACACCCCACCCCAATGCCAGACTATCCCCAGGAGCTTCCTGTGATCTCTGTGGTAGGGGAATCATTCATTCCACATATTTGAGTTAGGGTCTACCTGTGCCTGGCCTTGAGCTGGGCATTGAGAATCAAGCTAAATGTCTGGTACACTGGGCATGCCCATGGGAGCCTGTAGTTAGAAGTGGGAGGACTGGCCCCTCTGAGCCCACAGCCTCACAGATGCGACTGAGCACACAGCATATCTACTGAATCAACTGTGTTATCTGTGTCCTGGGCTCATGTATAGTCACCACCTGCACCTGACCTGTTGTCCTGTGTGGGTCAATGGAGGATGGTTAATTGGGATGAGCAGGCTGGCAAAATATGCCATGGGCTGATATGCCAAGGGCTGGCCTGAGAGTCCCCAGTGGTAGTGCCTGGTAGGGACTTTGGAGGGTGAGGCGTTGACATCTCTTTCTCTGTTTCTTGAAGGATAATTATCCGCTTCTTCCCCTTGGAGGCCTGGCAGATTGGAAAGAAAGGAACAGTCATGACATTTTTGTGATTAGCACAAAGAATCCAGGCCATCTGTGACCTGTGAGCCTGCAGGCCCTTCCAGAGAAGCCCATCCTGGCAGAGTCATGGCTTGGTAGATGCCAACTCCAGACATCTCTTTTTCAGATTATGTCTGTGATGTCATCTCACGGTTTTCCTGTTCCCTAACCTCATGAATAAATAAATGAAGAGAATATCATTGCAACATGACCTCTTCTGTAATCCTCTCCCTAGTATCCTGGATTCTCTGGAGAGTGGGATTTGTTCATGAGAGAAAAGGGGGTGAGATGTTTCCTGTTTGTGGGGCTGGTGTTTGGTGTTTACAGCACTGAAATATGGGGTGCAGGGCTCAGCCTGGAAGGTCTGCTTTCTGCATGTGTAGACCACTGAGAACATGGGAGCAGCTGGCCTGGAGTGTCCTGCATACCCTCATGATATAAGGAGAATCCTGTGCTCAGCCTGGGGCAGCTGGGCATCACTGTCTGTTGACTGCTGTGCTGGCTTGGGGAATGAGACCGGCTGTATTTCAGGCTTCACTGGAGTTTTATTGTGTACCTGACTCTTGTTGAGATTTCATTGGAACTGTGCACTTCCCAGAAATCATGCCAAACATGGGCAATGCAATACCTGTAGAAACAGAAAGGATGTTGTTCCCACTCTCAATCTACATGCCTTTGCATTTCAGATTCTATACAGATAGGGAGAGGATCCTGAAGGAAGTCTCCATCTTCCTGTCCAGATGGTGCATGCAGAGTTTAGTTTATGGCTTATGACAGACGCTGCTGGGTGCTGCTTTCCTATATAGTTAGATCGTTGGTGATCCTTGTCTTTAGGATGCCAATGAAACATCAAATTGAGTTTTTCATTCTGTATAGTCTACATAACAAAATAAAGTTCATCTCCTGTGGATTTGCCTGTGCTGTGCTGATGCCTGACACTGTCTGGCGGGGCTTCTCAGTCAAAGCTCTGCCTGGGAGTGTCTTCCCCTGGCGAACTGTTTAGTTGCTTCTTCATTCATTCTGTTTAGGTGTTTCACAGGTTGGAGCTCCAAGGGGTAGACTAGTCCAGTTGGGTCAGAAGCATCTGAATCTTCCCCTAGGATATTAATGTGGACCAGAGTGGCAAAGCTAGAGTCCAGGGAGAAGACTGGAGTGTCTGACACATGGATGAAACAAATTAAGGTGTTAGGTAGACTACAGTGCTATTTCACTGGGGCACCAAGGGATGCTGTCTGAGCACCCATCAGCAACTGGTTGCTGTCTGGCCCTGGGGCTTGAGCAGAGCACAGTCAGAGCCTTCACACTGGGAATGCACATGGAAGCCTGCAGTTAGAAGTGGGAGGACTGGCCCTCCTAGCCCACAGTCTGACAGATACAACTGAGCACACAGCACATCTACTGATGCCACTGTGTTGTGTGTGTCCTGGGCCCATGTGTAGCCACCAGTGGCACCTGACCATCCTGTTACCCTGTCCAGGTCAACGGAGGATCATTAACTGGGATGAACGACTGTCAAAATATGCTATGGACAGATATGGGGTAGCTTGAGAGCTCCCAGTGGCAGTGTCTGGTGAGGTCCTTGGAGGATAAAAAGTTTGCCAAGGAGTTGACATCTCATTCTGTATTCCTGAACGATAAAATACCCGCTTCCCCTTGGATCCCTGGCAGATTGGCAAGGATGAGATAACTGTTGCATTCCTACAACTGGAACAAAGGATGGAGGGAATTTGTGATCTGTTCTTTCCAGGGATGCCTCTTGACAGAGTCACAGGCTGGTGTGTCATGGGGTGCTTCACCAGAGAAAACCACTCAAAGTTTTGCCAAATGAAAGTCGTTGTTGCCTAGGGCTACTACACAAGGGTGTCAGAGCCCAAGTGTGTAGCCCTGAGCCATCTCTAAGGTAAGATTTTATACAGAGAAACCATAACCAGGGGTGAAAAGTTTAAGTCCCCAAGCTTACAGGTGGACAGCCCCCTTAACAATTTCTATTCCATCAAGCAACAATTACTATTTTGCAGAAGCAAGCCAAGCATAACCTACAGAAGCCATAAATCAACAGTTAGCAGGTGCACTCCAGGACACTATGACCTGTTTCCAAGACAACTGGGGTTTAGCTGACATGTATTCCCATAACCCTGGGCCAAACTGCCTGATAATTTCAGAGACTAGAGTCAGCCTAAATTTTAACATGGCATAGTTACAGTCAAGAAGGCGTCCTATTACAGGTGGATGCCAGTTTTAAGTACCTCACAATACAGAAATTCTGGTAACCACACAATCTTTCTGTTCCCCTTTCTCATGTCAGACAAATGAAGAGAACATATCATTGAACATGAATTCTTTACTTCACCACTGCCTTCCTTGCCATTCTAGACCATCACAGACAGTGGGTTTGGTTTATGAAAAGGGGGAGATGTTCGAGCGTGGAAGTAGTATTTCCTGTCTTTATGGCTTTGATGTGTTTGTAGTACTAATTGGAGTTGGAGGACTCAACCTGGAGAGTGCCTATACACCCATTCTGTGGGGACATAGGAGCAGTTGGTCTGGCCTGGAACTTTCTGAGGCTCCTCTACTCTCTTTCGAGTAGCCTGAGGCCTTCACTCTTCATAGAGTGCTGTGCCAGGCAGAGAACGGGGTGGCTGGACCTCAGAGACCTTCTCTGGTCTTTCTCAGAACATGAATTTTCCCCTTGACTTCTGCTGAAAATTCCTTGCAGTTATGTACCTTGCAAAATCACGTCCCAGCATGCCAAGCATGGAAATGCAGTGTCTGCCACTAGAACTGAAGAAATGCCATCCTTGAGTCATCTATATGCTGTATCTTGCCTTTGCATTTTGGAGTATTTAGAGGTCCAGTGGGAAGGGCCTGGAGGGAAATCTCCATTTCAGTCTCTTTTTCAGATGTCCCACACAGTTTATAGCCATGATCCTTAGACGCTTCTCAGTGCTGTTTCCCTGAACAGACATTTAATGGTCTGTATTGTTAGTGTATATCATGTTGAGATTTTTTTGTTTGTTTTTTGTTTTTCTGAGGCAGGATCTCCTGTAGTCTCAGCTAACCTGAAACTGACTATGTAGACCAGGCTGGCCTTGGACTCACAGATCTGTTTACCTCTGCCTCCCAAGTGCTGGGATTAAAGGCTGTGGTGATAGGACTTTGGGGAGGAGACTAGTGAATCCTGTAAATTTTAGGAGCTTCCTGACCTCATCTTGTAAGTTTCATTTACTTCCTGAGATTTCTGAGCCTACTTCTCTCTAGGTGGGAATGTTTCAGTGTGAGGAAGTAGTTCTATATCTAAGGATGGCATTGAGGTCAACTCTCAGCCAGACCAAAAGCCAACTGTCTTATCAACCCCACACTGAGTGCTATTTTATGATGGCTTACATGGATTGGCCTCTCTACCCTTCTCCAACATTCTCCCCAACCCTGTGGTGGCCCTGAACTTGGCTTCCTGGTAATCCTGTTCAGTTTGAGGCTATGGCATGATCAATAGCCTTTCTTGCCTTTGAATTTTTTTGTACAGCTCCTGCTGTTGTGACTACCCTTCCCACCTTTTATTAAAGGTTTCACTCCAACTTAACTTTTCAGATACAACTGAGAACTGAGTGATGGGAACTGGATCTAACATGCATATTATTCACTATTTATTTATTTATCTATTTATATTTATAAGATAGTATGTCTATCTGGCCCTGGCTAGTCTGAGTTTGCTGTGTAGAACTTGTGACAGTCCTCCTGTCTCAGCTTCCCTAATATGCACAGGCACAGGTCTGTGTGCATGTGACTTGCTATTCACACACTTTGTTTTAATTTTATGTGTATGAGTGTTTTGCCTGCATATATGTAGGTGTACCATGTGCATGCAATGCCACAGAGGTTGTGTGGGTGGTTGTTAGCTGCCATGTGGGTGCTGGGAAACTGAACCCAGGTTCTCTGCAAGAACAGCCAGTGCTCTTAACAGCTGAACCATCTCCCAGCCCCTATTCACACAATTTTAATACTACCTGTTCCTGTACTGTCTAGTCTTCCCTCTCCTTTGCAGTCTATTTTTAAAATCAAGGTTGATACAAGTTTTCGTATCTCCTGGCATATTTGTACTGAACAAAGTTATTTAGCATGGTTCTTACTGTCATTAGTTTTCTTAAGAAAACAAGTTTTTGTTTCTTTACTGTTTTAAAATAAGGTTAAAATAGCTGGGCATGGTGGTGCATGCCTTTAATCCTAGCACTCAGGAGGCAGAGTAATCCTGTGAGTTCAAGGCCAGCCTCATATACATTCTAGGCCAGCCAGTGCTACATAGTGAGACCCTGTTGCAAAAAATAATAAATAAATAAATAAATAAATAAATAAATAAATAAAAAGGTTTACAAGGCCACAATATTGTTATTTAAATCATCCTGGGGGGGTGAATATTATCAAAATACATTGTATGAATTTCTCAAAGACTTAATAAAATATTATTTTTAAAGCAAAAAAATTACTTTAAAATTACTTTAAAAGATAACTATGAATTCGACCAATGTGAACCCTGCCTCCCCAAAATGATTGATTGATTGATAATTGGTTCCCAAGTGAGTAACCTCTTCCACTTCAGACCCTTATCAGGTTTCCTGGAGCCTCTTTTCAGTTTTCTGCTCTTCACATCCCTTTCTTAATTGGATCTTCTCTCCTCAATACCTCCCCTGCCCCGACCCATATGTATCTATATCATTTGGGTTTTAATTTATTTCAGGAAAGGGTGAGACTCGTCCTATAGAACGACTGAGAAAGCCCTGGCTCATTTGTTCCTAGTTCTGACTCCAGAACACCTGCCCTAGGACCTTGGCAAGAATGCACAGCCCTTCATCTAGCGACTCCTGGGGACCCTGTCACCAAGCTGGTGCTTCGCCAGCGCTGCTACTGGCACTATGGTGGGCTATGCCTGTCATCCAAGCAGCCGGGACGCCGAGGCAGGAGGATTGCCCCAAGTTCAAGGCTAGCTTGGACTAGAATGTGAGAAGTTGACTGAACAAACGGCTGGCAGGGCGGGGAGTCCATCCGAGCTAGCGCTCTGAGCCCCCAGGAGTACGAGGTCAGCAGACTCCTGAGCCGGCAGCCACCGGTCCCAGCGCGCGGGAGAGGAACACACGCCAGAGACTCAGAGGCGCCCCCTGCAGGGCGTCCGAGACCGCGCCGGGCGAGTGGGCGGTGTGTGCCCACGCTGATTGGCTGGCAAGGCCGGCACCCTGGCCAATGGGAATACTCCTTGTTAGGCGCGCGGCCGGCTTGGCGCAGGGGGTCTGGGTGCACGGGCTGTTGCCGTGGAGACGCCTGGTGCGTTCCCGGGCCTCAGGTTCGGGCGAGGCCCCTGGATTGGGGCTCCGCGGCGGGTGGAACCACGTGAGCACGCCGGGTGCCCCGCATCCTCGCAGCCTCAGCCGGGGAACGCGAGGTCCGGGACCCGCAGCGACCCGGCAGGCCTCGGCCTGACCCGCAGCCTCCTCCAGACTCCCGCCGCCCCGGAGTGTCCCGCGTGGGCCGCCGTCGGTAGGTGCCCCGGGCCGTCGCAGGAGCCACCTGTGCGTCCACGTCTGGGGGGTATAGCGCCGGACCCAGCCCTTTCCTTGCGTCCTTTCACTCTCCTTCACAGCAGCCCCACGGGGTGAGTGTGGCATCAGTGTCATTTACAGGGGTGGAAATTGATGCCCAGGTAAGGTTAAAGTCACCAGGCTGCTAGATCGACCCCGACTTGAGGGTCTTGACTATTTAGCTGCACTGCCCCCCTGGAGGAGGCGAGTCCTGGGAGACAGACTTCACCGGGCACTTGGGGTTTCTCCACCGGTGGATTTGGGGACCACTTAACTAACCTCAAGATCTTACAGGTTCGAGTACGGGCAGCCTAAGACCATGGGGCTAAAGTTCCAGAATATGATTCATTTTGGATTTAGATATAGAATATCCTTAGAATGGTCTTGTTCAGGGGCTGGGAAACTTTTTTTTTGGATACGTTTCTATTACAATGTAAATATGATAATACTTTTAGTGGTACGTATTTTAGGTTTTTTAGGGGGCATACAACTCAGTTGTGTGGATAAAGTCCAAGACGATACATGAGTGTGTTCCACTATGATTTTAAAAATATTTTATTTTTATTTTATGTGTATGAGTGTATTGCCTGCATGTAAGTGAGTGCACCCGTGTTGTGCAATGCTGCGGAGATCAGAAGAGGGCTTCGGATTCCCCTGGAACTGGAGTTAAGGACGGTTCGTAGCCGCCATGTGGGTGCTGAGGATCGAACCTGGGTCCTCTGCAAGAGGATCGAACCTGGGTCCTCTGCAAGAGCAGTCAGTACTCTTAACCGCTGAGCCATCTCTCCAGCCCCCTAGATACTGAAATTTAAATGTTAAATAGGTGGGGTTTTCTGGTAATTTCTATGTGTCTTTTATTTCACTAAAAATGGAAAAAAAGGATCCTTTGCTCTTGGGCAATAACAAAAGCAGTGAGTGGTAAGCTTGCAGAAGCCTTGTCTAGTCCAGAGCTTGCTACCACAGAGTGAACATAAGTAGAGAGAGCCATCTGTGCTATGACAGTCACGGTCAGGTCTACCACAATGCAAAACTTCCAGACTCCTAGGCCCCAGCAGGCCCAACCACTGCTTATCACTCCATCAGGGTGCTGAAGGCCTCCATGTTGCTTTTCTTATCAAGTGTTCTTGGGCTATGGAGACCATAGCTTAAAGAGTTTGGAAACTTAGGCCAGGTGTGGTGACACATGCCTTTCATCCCAGCACTCTGGAGGCACAGGCAGGCATATTGCTGTGAGATAGAGGCCAGCTTGGGATGTTCTGCCTAGATAGGCAGTTCCAGGCCAGCTGGGGCTACATAGTGAGACCTTGTCTCAAAAAACAACAGTAAAAAAATATTTTTATATATAAAAAGATTTTATTTGTGTGTTCGGTGTTTGCCTACATATATGTATGTGTACCATTTGCATGTCTGGTGCCCTCTAAAGCCAGAACAGGACCTCAGAGCCCTTGGAACTGGAGTTAAGGATGGGTATTAGCCACCATGTGGGTGTTGGGAACTGAAACCTCATCCTCTGCAACAGCAGTAAGTGCTCTTAACTACCTAGCCATCTTTCCAGCCCCTTCAGGGTAGATTCTTTAGAGTAGAATTGCTGGGGTGAAATATAAGTGAATGTGGAATTTTCTTAGATACTGTCAAATTACTTTACCCAATGATTACGTCACTTTGCATTTATGTGAGAGTAATGCTGGTTCTCCACAGCTGAGCCAGCAGTGCGGTTTTGTTGTTTTTCTTTTTTCCCTGAGACAGGGTTTCATTATATAGCCCTGCCTGTCTTGGAATTCCCTGTGTATAATAGACCAGGCTGGCCTTGAACTTGCAACAATCCTCCTGCCTCCTCCTGGATGTTGGGATTATAGGCCACCATGCCCAGCTTAAAAAATTAATTAATTGATTGTTTGATTATTTGTATGGGGGAGGTACATGCCATGGTATTTGTGTGTGTGGAGGTCAGTGGATAACATGGAGTCAGTTCTCTCCTATCTTTATGTGGGTTCCAGGGATTGAAGTCAGGTGTCAGGCTTGCATGGCAAGCACCTTTATACACAGCTATCTTGATTCTGGTAAAGATGCTTGCTGCCAAACCTGAGTACCTGAGGTACTGTCTCTGAGAGATCACACTCTCCCAACATTGCATCATGGAGACCCATGAAACTTTTGGGAACACATTCAAACTGAATCCGAACCATAGCCCATACACACTTGAGTGTAATTCTGGACCTAAGCTCTATATGCCTCCTGTTTTAATCAGTAATGATTTGTATTGTATGTGTTAATATTGGATAAGGCTTAGCCCTTTTTAAAAAAAATTTGTTTTTATTAAATTTTGTTGTATTTCATACAGAATGTATCAATCAATCTGAATCATCTTTATAGCCCCATCCCCACCAGCGCCCTCCCATAGCTCCCACTACTGGAACCCATATACTCCTGTGTGTTAACACCCACTGTGTTAAGTCAGTGTCCCCAGATGTTCCCCAGTGCAAGTCCATCCACTTTCAGTCTAGTCAGATCCCTCTCATCTATCCAAACACCCATCATTTTCTTTTTTTTTTTTTTAACAGAGCATAGGGTTGGGGGTTTATTTACAGAGGAATGGGCACCCCCCACACACCCCATTTATGGCTGCACTGTAAAGTCCACACACAAATATAGATCTTGTGACTCCCCGACAGCTGCAGAAAATGGTGAGAGAGGTGCCTCCTAGTGTTCTCAGCTTATATATCCTTAGCCCCTTCCCCACACATAGGTAAGGTTGACTGATTGGGTAGGAGGGGCAACTGACTCCCCCCTCCACTCCTCGATGAGCATGGGAAGGAGGTGTGACTATACCTTGCCAGCATGGTGGTCGGAGGACACTTCCAGTTAACACGCCACCCCTTCCTCTGTTCTTACATGCTTTCTACCAACCTCTTCTGCAAAAGTCTCTGAGCCATGGATAGGGGTGGTAGGTATGGAATGATCTTCCTCCTATTGTGGCAAGGCACTGAACTTCTGGGTCTCTGCATTGTCAGTTTTTCATGGGCTGTTGGCCCATTTCAGTGGGATTCCATCTACTGTAAAAACACAAACAGCAAGAAGCAAGAACATCTAAACGATGGCTGCTATAATAACTTAACCTATTGGTATAAACACCAATGCTTGGATGGTATTTTAGCAATTGCATCACATCCATCTAGCAAAACAATTGCAGTGGCGTCCCACTGGGGCCTATGTTCTCCCCTGCCGCAGGGGGTTGGCCTTGTCTACAATACCAGATGTGTGTTCCACCCCTAGGAGTGGGCATTATATCCAATTGAAAATTTGCTGGTTGTACATACACTAGATGCTCCACTATTGCACCGACAGGAACACCTTGTTTGGTATATTGATAGTGCAACATTCGGGCCTGTCATTGAGCAGAATTATAGGGGACTATTCTCCCCGCCCCCCCATCATCTGCATATCACCTTTTTGGCACCATAAAAGCCACCCATCCAGTGGCAAGGAATTTCTAGCTTAGTCCAAGGTTGATTTCTCTGTTTCCTGCACTCACATGCACTCACATCAAGCAGTGTCTTCAGCAATAGAGTCCCTCTGTCCACTTCTGGTATACAACCAATATTATTGGCAATGGCCTTTATTGTTTTGGGGACCTCCAGGGTCCCTCAGGCCAACAGCTCATAGGGGGGCAACCCACCTCTGGGCCTAGCCCCTTCTTACAGGTTTTTACTTGCACCATGTTCCTAAGTAGTCTTACATTTTTGTTTTTCCAAATGATCTTTTGTTTCAACTTGTCTGTATTTTGTTGGTGTTTTTATTGGAGCCACATAGAGTTTCATAAACTAACTTCAGGAGAACTGCTGTGTCTATATTGGTGAGTTCTACCCAAAGAGAAGAGCTGCCATTCCATTTGTTCAAGTTCACTTTAGTGTCTTTCAGTAGAGTTTAAAAATTTTCCTTGCTGAGGTTGCAGATCTCTTACAAATTTGATTCCTGCCAGGTATGGTGGCACACACCTTTAATCCCAGCACTTGGGAGACAGAGGCAGGTGGATCTCTGTGAGTTCAAAGCCAGCCTGGTCTACAAAGTGAGGTCTAGGCCAGCTGGGGCTACTGTCTTAATACCAATACAAACAACAAATAAACAAAAAACCAAATTTGATTCCTAAGAACTTAATCTTGTTGCTACTACAAATGGGATTTTATGCACCGTAATATTAAATGTTTATGGTTTGTGTGTATTGACTTTTATATTAATTTTATATTATGCTGCTTCACTAAGTTCTTTTACTAGTGTATAGGTTTTGCCATTGAGTTTTTAAAAAAGATATTCTATTATTTGCAATTACTGACCTTTTTACTCATTCTCTTTTATTTTTTTGAGATAGCATCTTGTTGTGTAGCCTAGGCTGGCCTTGAATTTGCAGTCCTCTTGCCATAGCCTCCCAAGTGCTAGGGTTACAGTGTTGAGATTATACCTAGCTTTCTTAGCCCCCCCCCCCCTTTTTTGAGACAGAGTTTCCCTGTAGCCACAACTGGCCCGGAACTCAATATGTAGACGAGGCTGGCCTTGATCTCACAAAGATCCACCTACCTCTGTATGCTGAGTGCTAGAATTAAAGGTATGCACCACTATGCCTGGCTCTTAGCCCTCCTTAAAATATTTTTATTTAACTATTTTTATTTTATGTGTATGAGTGTATTGCCTGCATGTATGTAAGTGCACCTCTCTTGTACAATGCCCATGGAGGTCAGAAGAGGGAGTTGGATCCCCTGGAACTGGAGTTACAGACAGTTATTAGCTGCTATGTGGGTGCTGGAAACTGAACCTGGGTCCTCTGCAAGAGCAGCCAGTGGTCTTAACCACTGAGCCATCTCATCTCTCCAAATCCCTTATCCCTTCTTAAAACTCCAATTGTTAAATAAAATAAAAAACAAAACAAAACAAAAAACAAACCCTCCAATTGCCTTCTCTGTTCTCGTTCCACTGGCTGATAATCCTATTGCAATGGTGGGTAATAGCAGAGATAGTGGCCTTCCCGGCTTTATTCCTATTATTTATTTATTGTTATTTTTTTGTTTTTTTTGTTTTGTTT